AGTGATAGCTGCTTGTCAGACTTAGATTTGAACCCAGTCATAATAAAGGTTCCTTAACCTGCTCAGTCTGCCCGGAGTTTAGCCTGACTGTTTTTGAACAGAGCTTGCTAATGTGCAGTTGTAGAACTCTGAATATTTTTTAAAGGCTGTGATTTGAATTGTCATTTAACTTTATTTTCCCATCTCTACAAGCCAGAACTATATTTTTCATGGATGAATGATGTTCGAATTTCCACTAGTTTGTATCCCATCACAACACAGTCCTACTTAAAAGGCAAACAGTTTATACTGTCATGTGAAGTGTTTTCAGATGTTTTGTGAGCAGGTGCTATACAAGTGCAAGTATTAACACTATTTTGTTGAAACTTTTGATCCATGCCCGAATAATGAAATCCCCTAACTGTCAAAAATTAAAACAGGCGATCAAAGGCATTGTCATCCCTGAATCACCCATTATCAACATCTGAGGGTTAACGTTGACCAGAAACTGAACTGAAACTAGCCATATAAATATAGTGCCCGCAAGAGCAGGTCAGAGGCTAGGAATCCTACAGCGAGTAACTCACCTCCTGATTCCCCAAAATCTGTCCACCATTTACAAGACACAGTTCAGGAGTGTGATGGAACACTTGGCTGGATGAGTGCAGCTCCAACAACATTCAAGAAGCTTCACAATCCAGGACAGACCAGCTACTTGATGGTTTACGGGTGTGGTCACATTTGAGTCCCTCCACTCTGCATGCCCTCAATAGCTTTAGTGTGTCCTGCCCACAAGATGCAGTGCAGAAATTCACCACAACTCTTGAGAGAGAATCTTCCAAACATCTACCATCCAGAAGGATAAGCGCAGCAGATGCATGGTAGTACCATCATTCAAACTCACCTCCAAGCTGCTCACTATCCTGACTTGGAAATATATCATCATCATTCGTTCAGGGTTTACTCATTCAAAATCTTGTAACTCTGTCTCTGATAGCATTTTGGGTCTGCCTGTACAAAATGGACTTTAGCAGTTCAACAAGAGTCCTACTAGGCACTAGCAATAAGTGTTGCCCAACCAACAACATTCAAATCCCATGAAAGAATAAAGTAAGGGTGAGTTTAAGCCAATTCATTGTGTAGTATTTGAAATGGGGGCCAGGTGAGTCTTATTGACTATGACATCCTTGCTTGGGGCTGTCAACCTGGGCCAATCAGGGAGACCTGGCTGAGATACAAACAGGAGATTGAAAGTCTCCTCATTCCAGTGACTGGCTCTGAGCTGGCTGGTCAAGGCCCATGTACCTGTGCACATGTAAATAAATGGTGACTGGGTGACGGGATACTGGCCTTGGTCCAGTCATTTACATTGGTAGCTGAGTGTATTGTTGTTTGTCATAGTGGAGGGCTTGAACATGAACTGATGGTACAATCTATTTCTATGATGTTTTCTCAGCCTCGAGGCAGTCCTGTCTAAGCGTATGGTTCTGATAAAAATCCACTTAAGTCCATCTATCCGGGAACACTTGAAAAAAGATAAAACAACCTATCGGCTCACCCCCACCCCAATCTCAAATTCAGCATAAATACTACATTTTCCTAGTTGCTATCATTTCTGTCAAAGTCATGGGACTTGAAACATTAACTTTGCTTCCTCCCCATTCCCACAGATACTGCCAGACCTTTGAGTTTTGCCAGCAATTTCTGTTTTTGTATTTGAGAAATAAAATTAGTTAAGAAATAGTCGGTGAAATGTTGAACCTAAGTGAAAACATTAATTGGTGGATGTACTGGTAAAGTACAGGAAAATCATCCTTTGATCTGCTTACTGCTAGCTTTATGTCTTGTCAAACTTAAAATTCCATTCAAGCCTTTCAAACAACAAAGGCATTGGGGTTATATTAGGTGTCAATGCAAAGTATGACTGTTTCTTTGCTGCTTCAGTAATGTCCTTTAATTCAACTGTGACCCTGACATTTACTTTCAACAGAAGACATCCTAATGGCTTCTTCAGAAGATATCTTTTTTGTTTTGGTGCTGAATCATGGTCATTTTTGTCTCTGGGATGGAACTCCTCCATTCATTTTTGACTGGAACTGTATGACTGTTGCAGAGATATTTCTTCCACTAGTTAGACAAACCAGATACTTCTCCAGGATATACTTCAAACTTGTTGCACTGTCCATTTTTGAATTTTGCAAACATAGGAATGATAGGAGACCATTCAGCCCTTTGAACCTATTCTATCACTCTATTAGATCATTGCTAATCTGGATTGTTACTCCATGCCTTAGACACTTACCTAACAATTAATCCCAGTTTTGAAATTCTTAGTTGATACCCACTCACATCCTCCAATCACACACCTGGCTTCAACACTTTTTTTAGTAAGACTTTTCTGGTTTCTTCTATCCTTTATGTCAAGTGATGTCTCTATTACTCTGCATATCCTATCTCTAATTTTAAGGTTTGCACCTTTGATCCGAACCTTTGTCAACTTTATTTTAAAGAGAATGCTCTAGATATTGGAAGAATAACTTTTTTTTTGTCAAAACTGAAAGCTAGAATTGAAATGTCCACTGGCCAGCATTGTTTCAAGATTGTTTGCTGTGCTGTTCTGTTTTCTCTGCTAGATTCCCTTTGAAAGATGCAAAACGTTTAGCAGAATGGATTGCTGCTGTTGGTCGGACTGACTGGAAACCAACCAAGTTTTCCTTCCTGTGCAGTGCTCACTTCACCAAGGATAGCTTTCAGGAGCGTCAGGAGGACCAGTGTCATCGACTCAAGTTCAATGCCGTCCCTTCCATCTTCCACTTCTCAGAAAACCAGAGGAAAGTGGAGAGAGGGCACACACACTGCCAAGTTGCAGCCAAATTACAGCTGGCTGCTGTCAATCAGGAAAGGACTTTGAGTGGCTGCTTGGCCTCTGAAGCACTAAATGCTGAACACTTAGAGTCCCATTCTGTAATTGTAGACAATGAACATGTACTGGAGACCGTTTCTGGGTTGGAAGAAAACGGTGCCGTACTCCAGTCATCCTCAGTGACAGCTGAACCAGTTGTCTGTATGGTTTCTGAACAGCAATGCTGTTCAAAGTCTGATAGCAGCCCACAACCTGCCAGTGAAAGACTGCTGATTGATGGCACTGTTCCGTTTCCCGATGATGCCGCCCCATCTGCCTCTGGCGCATGCAAACTAATAAATTCCCTCCATTCATACTGCTTGTCTCCGACACACAGCACCTTCCTCAAAGATCAAGTCACGAAGAAGAACACCAAACTCAAGCTCCTGAGACAACAAAGCAGCCGAGTTGTGAAGCGAGTGAAGCGGTTGGAGGGGTTGATCCATAAACTTCAGGAAACTAATTCTACTCTTGTAAGGTGCTTTCTGCCTCAGGATCATGGTGAGTGAAAGACTTCACTTTTTCAATGTTTGCAATGAGTGCCCATGCAAACCCACAAGTTTATACACGTGAGACCTAAATTTTCACTTGCGGCAACCTATTTTCTCCCAAGGTAAGAATTCCTTGATATAGTTTCAATTACAATTAGATTTGGCCCCAGAGAAATGAGATGAACCCAGTAGATTAGAACTTGCTCACAGCTATGAATTTGTGTGTATCCTGTTTACCCACATTCACTCTCACACGTACACATTGGCCAATGGTAGGGAATCTGGCCCCTATGTACCCAAATAGCCAACAGATCGCCAGTTACCCCAGTCAAGTTTCCACACACACTGTCTAGATTCATAGGTTATGAAAATTATCCCATGTGTTTTACATCAGCGTCTGATTGAGCAAATGTCTTGTTCATTAGCTATCGACTCCAGCTTGAAGTTTCATGTGAAGGGGTTTGGAAGAGTAACTGAATACATACTGCTTGAAAAGGAATGATAAAGGATTATCATAGAATCCCTACAGTGTGGAAGCAGGCCATTCAATCCATCAAGTCCACAGTGACCCTCCAAAGAGCATCTCGCCCAGATCTACTTCCCTACACTATCTCTGTAACCCTGCATTTCCCATGGCTAATCCATCTAGCCTGCACATCCCTTGACACTATGGGCAATTTAGCATGGCCAATCCACCTAACCTGCATATCTTTGGACTGTGAGAGGAAACTGGAGCGCCCGTAGGAAACTCACACAGACACAGGGAGAACAAACTCCACACAGACGGTCGCCCGTGGGTGGAACTGAACCTGGGTTCCTGGTGCTGTGAGGCAACAGTACTTAACACTGAGCCAGCATACTGCCCAATCCTTATCAGTCTCATCATGACACGTTGTGTGGCATTCTGAAGGACAGGGCTAGTGTGTCTGTTTCAGGCACATCTGAAAAAATTAGCTGTTCTTTTTCATCAAGGATTTACCGCTGAAGGATTCTCTTAAGCTGTGTGCCCATGCTCTTAGTTCATTCATTTAACATGATGTCTAACAGTGGGGATATGTTGGTGGATGCCACCCACTTGAGCATCACAAGGTTCAAGGAAATGATGAAAATATGGATTAGAAAATAAAAGGAGTGTTTGTTCATATGAATGCTTGAAATGCTTGGTTAATCGTGACTGCCGTTCAAAAGTAATTGGTTGTAAATTGCTTTGGGATGCCCTGCTGATGAACTGAGGCCTATATTTAAAAATAAGATATTCCTCTGTTTTAGATAACACATTGTGGAGCTGGAGGAACACAGCAGGCCGGGCAGCATCAGAGGAGCAGGAAAGTTGACTTTTCGAGTCGGGACCCTTCTTCAGAAATGGGGCGGGGGAAGGGAGCTGGGAAATAAATAGTGAGAGGAGGGGTGGGGCTGGGGCTGGGGCTGGGGAAGGTAGGTGGGATGGTGATA